ATGGGGGCTTTGTGCACAGCATGACAATTATACCTCAATAAAGCTGAAATTTAATTAAAAAAAGATCTCCTCCTTCAACATGATAAGAGGATGACTGATGGAGAAGTGACTTAGAGAAACGTTTATTGCCTACCCCATCTCTAGGTCTCTAATTGCAGTTGTAACTCCAAGGCTCCAGATTATTGAATGCGTGTAAAGTCAATTTGGAGTATCCACTTTTGGCTTCACCACACTGTTTCCTGTGCCCATCTGCCCAACCTTCTGCTTCTTGGTTCCATATTCTATCTTCTGACCCACCTGCCTAGTTCTGGAAAATCATGTATCATTTTTCTGATTTTCTTAGCTCCCTATCTGGATCTCTGCTCTGCATACTTCCTTGACCTCAGCATTACCTTCAACTTCAAGACCTGTCAGATGGTACCCAGTGTTCCTTACCTGGTTTCACCATTTCACAGAACCAGACCAAAAGAATCTTTGCTATCAAGCATCTCCTACCCCCCAGCCTATGGGAAGAGAGTTCAGCTACTTATAGGCTGTTAAACCACTAGGTAAATTCAACCCATAGTTCACACATACTGTCATTGTTATTCTTATGAAAATTCTCCTTTGTTATGAGTACCAGTTTAAACCAATCCCTTGGAAGAATTCTTATAATTAGGCACTTATTAAACTAGTACACTGAAACCACCGTATTCTAAGCACCATTGTCTCTTATTTGGACTTCTAAAAAATCTCCTAACTTTAGGTCTCTCTTTGACCAGCCAATTCCTCCTCCTCCACAATATATTGAGGGTAATTTCTACAACAGAAACTTAATCCAGAAGTCCCCTGCTTGCAAGGTTCTGTGGCTCTCCTTTATCTTTAGGATAAAGCCTGCTAATTTTTGGCAGAGACACTAGAGATCACCAACAGGTTCACATGCTTTGTGCATTTTCCAGCGTCTCTTGCAGGTAGCTGGGTCTTTGTGGCTGCTTCTAGGCAGCAGCTCATGGGTGTGCCTCTCCTGGGCCAAATCACTTAGATGCTGGCATAGCACCACCTCTCTTCACCTATTCAGGTGGCCCGGGAAGCCACATGTTGGGATGGCCATGTCAAAAGATGGTAGGATCTTGGCTCGCTACTTTACCACATGGAGAACTGCCCTGGAATGTCATTTGAGATGTATATGAGAATTTACTTGACACAGAACTAAATTTTTGTGGGTTAAGCCACTGAGTTTTAGGGTTTTATTTCTAATGTGCAGCCTAGCCTATGGGATTCATGCCCATGGCTAGCACAGCCCTGTAGGCTTTAACTCCAGCCCATCTCTCCAGCTTGTTCAACTCTCCAGGCATGCCTTAAATCTTTTACTGCCTTAAAGATACCATGTTTTCTCCTGTCTTTGGTTATTTCCCATTTTCTGGGTAATGTTTCCCTCTTCCCCTTCCTACTTCCAACACAAACACTTTGGCCAAATCTTACTCATCCTCAGGTCACAACTAACCATCACTTCCTCAGGAAAGCCCCCATAGGTTCCCATCATCTTGCTCACTACATATCATTGCAGTTCCCTGTATTTAAACAAATCTGTCTACCCTGCTAGATTAGAAGCTTTGCCAGGGTGCAGCCACTGTCCTAATGTGCCACTGGCTCCTACACAGTACCTGACATTTCACTCACTCAGTAAGTATTTGTTAAGTGATGGAATGATTGAATGAGTGATTAGCAGAAGATAATTACAGGTGAATGAGATAGAGATTATAAATAAAAGAGATGTTGTAACATACAGGATCCCACTTGTGCAGAAACTAGGCTTGGCCTGGGGTATTCTAAGTAACCATGAAAAACTCGACCTTCTCATCTCTCCTCTGTTATACCCCCTGAATTATTTGAACAAAGAATGAAATCTTACCTTGTTAGGAACTCCTGGAGGCCTTCTACTGCATGTAGGGTAAGGTTCAAATACCTCAGCATGGCATATGAACCAGTTAAGGCTGGCACCTATTTTTCCTCACCTCCTACCACCTTCTCCATCAACCCCATGCTCACTCTGCTTCAATCAGAGCGCATGGCTCATTAGTTCTGAAAGATGTGTGAAGCTCCAACCTTGGCACCCAGGCAACTCTCACTTGTGTTTAGGACTCAGCTGAAATGTCAACCTCCTCTGTAGAGACCGTCTCAAGCACCCCATGTTAGACACTCACCACTATGGCCTCCAATACTGCTGGGTCTTTATGTAGCACTTAAAGTATAATTATGTGTGTGCCTCTCTCACTAAGAGGTGAGCTCTTTTGGATGAGGGATATGGGTAACTGACTCACCGTTGATTTCCTAATCAAGTGCCTAGCCAAAAGGGAAGCTCTATGAATTTTTGTCAAGTGAATGAATGAATGAATGAATGAACAGAAACAAAGCTGGAATATTATAGTGGGTGTCATTTCTAGTTTTACTCTGTTTGAAAATATTTTATTTTCTTGAGTGAGTACATAGGGATAGGAGTAGAGATTACATAGGGGAAAAAATAACTTATTTGAAAAATCCATTTTCCACTTTTGTGTTCTCTTATGACCAGCAAGATTTCAAAGTACTACATAATATGGACAGTGTATTTCATACTCCATGGCTATTTATGGTTTACTAGCAAAATCTTTATCTGGAATGCACATATCTGATTTCTGACAAATAGAAAATAACTTTTCCCAATTACCTAAAAATTAATGGAGTGCATATATTTTAAAATCTGAGCTTTTCTTTTAAAAGTCTCCTCCCTTTCTGAGCCACATAAGCTTAACATTTTTCCTATGTCGAGAGTGGGAGAGTTTGATTTACCTTTCTTTTTTTTCTAATTTTAAGTGTTTTCTGAATTGTTCTTTTTTTTAAATTTTTTACCGTCATTCAGCCCTGAGCTCTGGGAAAATCCCATTTCCCCTTCCCCATCAAGGATGTTATTGTGAAAGGTTATTAGTTTTGACAACTCTCCAAGATTGTGTCACTGGGATACTAGACTGATAAAAAATCCACATATCTCAGTGGATTGGCTTCTTAAGAGCCTATTGAAATGCTGACGTAAACACCCAGTGCTGGGTCTGGTGTGCTAATCCTGTGTGTCTACCTCCCACCTCTCTTCACTGACCAGTGAACTACTTTCCCCAGCCCTCCCCACCCCATAGGAGCGGGAAGGTCTTGAAAAAGAGCTGCTCAAGCATTGGAGCAGGCAGTCTAGGAGTAAATAATGCTTCAGGGCATACCATGTGTAGCTCAGGATCTACAGCTGGGGGAAGGAGCCTGAGAATTTTTGAAGGAGAGAGATTCTCACTTCTTTCAGATAAGCCAGGGATTCAGGAAGATCCCAACAAAATAGACATAAAGATGTTAGTGGGTGGAAGGTGGCTGGTTTCAGTCACACATGGTCTAGAACTGTCAAACCTGACACATTCCACTTTAACCTGGCTAAAAGATTCCTAACGTAATCTCTAGGACTGTCAAGAACAATTTTTGTGTGTATACGTGTGTGTGTGTGTGTGTGTGTGTACACGTGGTTTTGTATATATGTGTTTTCATGCCATGGGGACAACTGTGTTTAGGCTGACAGGTATAAAGTTCTGTTTTCCTCTGTCAGGTGACCATGGATTTTGTTGTACTCAGCAGACCCTTTGTCTAATGCATTGACAGCTTAATGAAAAACAAAAGGTAGATTCATCAGAAGAGACAAGATTATTTGAATCATAAGTGGGGAACATCGGGGAGGCTAGCGACAATAATAATAATAAATTGCCGCTATTGTCCACAGAAACTTGCTTTTCTAAGGTACTTTTGATAATTACCTGTCAATGTTTCAGTTTCAACAGCCTCTCCTTGAATTGATGGAGGCTATTTATATCACATGAAATTCTTGTATCTGCCTCTTAAAGTGCATTCCATTCCCAGGCAAGACTATGGCAGGGAGTGTTATTTTTTCAGAAGGGAAAAGTGGCATTGTGGGATCTGACATGTAAGCATTGCTTTCTAGTTGAAGGGAAGTGAAACGAAGCAACAAATAAACGTCAACCTTCAGAGGGAAGTGAAAGGAGAGAACCGTAGCTTGGACGGTTTGGGGGAACTTGCGTGAGTGTCTCCCGCGGAATGGCCCTGTTACTCTCTCTGAGGTTGTCTAACTCACATGATGTCTAGCTCACCTGTCAGGTGATGTGTTGGGGCTTAAATGAAACATTGCAAGGAACAACAGGGGAGATGGGAAAAATGGAGAGTATAAAAATCTATGTTAGGAACATAGGAACCTCAGGGATTTAAAGAATGTCCTAATATGAAAGACTGAATTCTATAAAACAATAAGCATTTAAAGAGAATGGATGTCCCACTGGTTCAATTCTTCTTTATGGTGTAATTCATAAAAATAGAATTGGGGGTTTGGTTGCACAGGGCAATGTGGCAGGGAACCCACACATTTCCATCAGAGGAGGAGGAAGCCCTGAATCAGGAGATATGTGTCCTGGCGCCGTTGTGTTGTATCATGTAACTCGTCGGCTCTTGGCCTCAGATTCCTTATTTGTTAAATAAGGAAGTTAGGCAGATCCCGACCAGCTTTAAAATTCACTTTAAAAATCTTAGCATCCCTAACTCTTCACACAGTGTCTGACGTAAACTGGATCTCAACCTAATTTTTAAATGAGCAAACAAATGAATGTCACTCTTAGATGTAATTTACCTATGCAGGTCCCTTGTTCAGTCCTTGAGCTGCACCGTCTTTCAGAATCACCAGGGTTATCTGGTAAGGACAATACATTTCACAGGCTCTGATTTCTTACCGTGTGTGGAAGGCAGCCTCTTAGATGGACTGCAGTGACTACCGTCCGCTAGTGTTAGTGCCTTTGTGTAATCCATTCCTCTGGACATACTGACTCACTTCTAACAAGTAGAGTATAGGAGAAGTGGCAGGTTATCACTTCTAAGAATAGGTTGCCAAAAACTGTGACTTATGTTTTGTGCTCTTTCTCCCTCTTTGTCTCTTTCTCTCACAGAGCCTTTGCTCTGGGGAAAGCCAGATGCCATGTTCTGAGCCACATGGCAGAGAACTGACATCTCCAGACAACATCTGGCGGAGACCCAAGGCTGCCAACAGTTGTAGGAGTGAGTTTGCCAGTGCGTCCTTCCCCAGTTGAGTCTTAAGATGACTGTTGCTTTGGCGGACACCTCAGTGTAGCCTCATGAGAGACTCTGAGCCACGCCCAGATTGCTTACCTACAGAAACTGTGAGATAAATCTTTGTTGTTTTAAAGTGATAAGTTTTGAGGTAGTTTGTTACATAGTAATAGATGACTAATACACTGTGTCATACTGTGTTATAAAAAGAATCTAAGTTGGCTACATCATTTAAATTAATGCATATAATCTAAGTAAAAGATAAGTCATATACCAGTAATTACTATACATAGTTGTAAGAGTAATAATAAGCAATTCCTGCATAGAGCTTACAATGTGCCCATGACTGATATGTATGTAATATATACAAACCTGATATACATGTATGTATGTAATATATATGTAAGGCTGAGGCTCAGTCATGCCATGGCATGACCAGCACCATTTTACAGATGAAGAAGTGGGTTTACAGAAATGTAAAGTAAATTGCCCAAGATCACACAACTATCAAAGATAGTAAATCATAGACCAAATGTTTAAACTCAATTTCCAGATGGCTTGCTTGTTACTATCCTGTACTGTACCCATACATGAGATAAGGGAAGTATCATGAAATGATAGGAGGTTCAAAAGGTATGATTATATCCCGTTTGAGGGATAAGGGCAGGATTTTATGGAGGATGTCAATTGGGAGACGGGAAGATTAAACAGTGAGACAACAGCAGAATGTAAACAGGGTTCCCTGATGCATGGACTGAATGTTTGTGTTCTCCCAAAATTCATTTTATGTTTTGCTAATTGTCTATAGTTATTGCTAAAATTGTCACTGGCATTCATTCCTTCTTTTGGTAATCATTTCTTATATTTACTTGTGCCAGGATTGTGGTTGCATTGCATCTTATTCAGTTCAACTTTACTCAGCACGGACATGAAATTAGGCTGCAAGCTACAGCTTCCCACTTTCTTGCTGGTGTGGGCTGCCTACTAGAGGTTTCAAGGCTCCCATTTTACAATCTGAGATCTCAGGAGTTCAACTCGGATGCAGAGTCTCATTTTCAGAGGTGTTACATTTGCATAATTTTACAGCTGGGGATATCAGTAGCTCAGGTAAATCAACTAAGTTTGCACCTCTGCACAAATAAAAACTTGCTCCCTTTCCCCAGGCTCCCATCATCCTCTTATAATCATTCCTTGGGTTCTGGCTCTTTCTCAGACCTCCTCCCCATACTGCATCTCGTGCTCAGAAATAACTCTGGCTGTGCACCCATTTCACTCTGCCCTACCTCTGTGTGCTTTCTATGGGAATACAAGGATTAGCTATAGTGGTGGAGAAGGGCAGGAACCTCAGCCTTAGATGACCTGGTATCAGATACTGTTTTCGTACCATTGAAAGCCAAGTCATTGAGGATCCTGCCTGGCCAGTTGTAGTAGCCTTCTAATTCATCTCCTTGTACTCTTTCCCACCTCCGCTTTTTCTCTCCATTGGGTGGATAGAATATTCACTTAAAACAATTGATTCACTTTTTTAAAAAATTTAAGAATAATATATGCATATAGGTTAAAGAAGAGGTCACAAGTTGAAAAATACATTCAGTGAGCAGTCTCTCTACTAAATCAGCGCACTAGTCCTCAAGGACCTTTTACTATAAGCAATCATTTAGCAGTTTAATGTCTGTTTTCAGAGATACTCTATGCATATATATTTAAGATATATACATATATATATTTTGATGAAAATTTTTCTTCTATTCAAGAATGTTTTTAATATATAAATTTGATTATGACATACAACAGAAACTCTCCATTAAAGCTTAGGAAAATGTCCTAAATTTTAACATGGGCCTTGAAGCTCCTGCAAGGTCTGGCCCCTCCCTAACTGTGCAACCTTGTCTCATGCCATTCTTCTCTTCATTTTACATGGGACTTATGACAGATCCTTGAAACCTAATATAACCATCTAAGGTTATTTGCACATGTGTCTGTCTTTGATCAGAATAGCTTTCTGTCTGGAATGGAAATTGTGGTTGCCTCCACATATATCTTACCTTTGCTTAGCAACCTTATAGTTTGGATGGAATAGACCCAACCCAGGGTCCAGAGTTACATAAATCCCATTCTCTTTACTAAAATGATTGGTTCATGTAACCAAGACCTAAGTCAACCAGGAAATACCCACTTGTTAGAAAGATTGGTTTGGGGTTGCCTAATCAGCTTAAATAGGGAAATTTCTCTTTCTTTCTGTGAATGTGAAAAATAAATTATGGTTATTGTTGGTAGATATCATCCTAATAGGAACCAACAGACTGAAACCAACATATAAAATTTAGTAAACCCATCAGAATCACAGAGGAACAAAGCCAGAGCCTTGATTGAACCATACCTGAAGCTGTCATCAATACCTTTTAGTGTTTTAAGCAAATATGCATTGGGTTTTATTTGACTTGCAAACAACTTAAAGTTGGCCTGATACCCCCTTCCCTACACCAATCTTCTTATATCTGGCAATTCTTACTCAGTCTCTGAGCCTCTTAAATGTTTCCTCCTCAGAGAAGCTTTTTATGACATTCCCAGACTAAGTTGAATCTTCTTTTCATCTGTTTTCCTTCTATTGAGGTCTTTTCCTCCTGCGTACTTACAACATTCGTAATGAAAGATGATTTTTTTTTAATGTTGCTCTTCCCCAGAGAACAATTAAATGAAGCTGGAGCTATGTCTGGTTCACTGCTCTGGCTGCACGTTCTGGCATGCACCTTGTACTTGCTAACTGCTCAGTGAGTATTGGGTGCAAAAGTGAATGAATGGTAGAATTTATTGTAGATGACTGGATCATTCACAATGATTTTAAAATTAAAGTTAATAGTAACCCCATAGATTGAACTAAAGTTTTTCATCCTTGGTCAAACTCAGGCAAAATATCTTGAGTCCCCAGGATATTTTACTAGCTATAATCTAATTTCTATCTCTGAATCTCTGCGGAGAGGATGACTTTGTAATAGTTAGAAGTCCCATTCTAATGTAGGTAGGAGTCCTGGACTAGAAACCTGTTTCTTTCATATACGGGATTTCTGATCTTGGGCAAGTTACTGAGCCTCTTTAAGCCTTAGTTTATCTTTAAAATGAGGATTGTAATACCTGCCTCACATGGTCCCTGTGAGAATTAAATGATGTAATGCATGTGACAAGGTAAAAATCCTGAAATGTCCTAAATTAAGTGGCATGAGGGAAAGAGACAAGGGAATGTCATCAGTCAATAGCCACGGGACACAGCTAACCAGAAACTCCACATTACTGGATGAAGTCAGTTGAACATTCATCTAGAAGGTCCCCAGGACCACCACATCCCCCTTGCATGTGACCAGTGTCTGATGCTCATCAACTACCAATCCACAAGCCTTCTCTAGACTAACTATCTACCCCAGATTGCCTGCTTTGTATTTATCTACTCCTTATCTGTAGCTAATTTGAATTTAAAGAACTGTCTTTCCTTGATACCCCTCATAAATGTGCCCTGTTTCTTGAGTCTGGTGGACGAGTTGTTTCTGTTAACTGTCTTTGCTGCTGGTGAAGGAGAAACTTCCTGTCCCAGGACTCAGTCCTTATCTGGCTAGGATCTGGTAAAGCTCAATAAACCCTTTTATTTCAGAGACCTCTCAGTCTGTAGAGGTTTTGATTTAGAGTACATGATACATGCATCACGTTTAACACACCCATCTCAATATAAGTACTTGCATGCCGTATTTTCCATCCCAAAGTAAGTACTTATAAGTCTATTATATGATATATGTAGCTACTTGATATTATTGCTATTATTTATAGTTGGACCTCAATTTCTAGGGCTGCAAAATGAGATTCCTCTAAATTCTACTCCAGGGCTTTGAGGGGCTTTGCTTATGAATCATTTAACGTACAAAGGGTTGACCAAATGCTGGATTTTTTTATTACTTCTGCTTGATACAGATTCTTGTTTAATCCTGTGATTTTTGAATAGCTACTGTCCTTCAAAAAAGAAAATGAGTTTGAAGAAGTATTTATATTGATTTATTGTTGGTTGTCTGTTGAAATGTAAATAGCCCTGAATGTGCCACTCACTGGGACAGGACAGGGCTTTTCATAATGGACAAAATAGCCTTGTTTCACTTTAATAACCTGCTTGTGGTCAAACCAGTCATGGGATTCCTTAAACAGAGCAGAATGCCTGTTATTGTCATTTGCATGTCAATGAGCAGACATCTTTCTCTGCTGTTGCTATTATACAGCACTGGCATTTCCTTAACTTGGAAACTGTCCTGAGGAGTTGAAATTTGAAATGCGATCGTCTAGCTCTTTCACACAGACACACATATATTAAGCATATGTATATATGCAGGAGCTGCTGAGGAAGTTACACAGCCTATCTATCATTTGCAGAAGTTGCAAAGGTTAGAAACAGATCACCCATCCCCAGGGTCTTATGGACATGTATGTGTATATTATATTTTTTTACAGAAGTAGGCTATGAATAATCATTTTGGGTTTTCCAAGTTGGATATATTAGATGAGGTAGGCTTAAGTAAGAATTGAAAAAGAAACAGTTGTTTACTGAAGAAACTTCCTGACTTTAAAATTCAGCGGAGAAAAACCGAACCTTGTTTCCTCTGCTGATCGCCCCCTTCCTGCCTAAGTGTTTTTCCAGAACTGGAAAGAGCCTTTCCATTTTACTGATTGGAAATAAATGAGTTCAATAGTCTCTTGCCCAAGGGCCACTAAGGGTGTTGAGGCAGGTCCTGATCGCAGATGCCTAGGGTGGCATAGGACGTGAGGACTGCTAATTCAGTGATCATCTCCATTCGCTTTGATGAACCCTAGCATAATGCTTTTAATAATTTTTTTTAGGTGACCTTAATCTCTACTGCACCATTAAACAGCAGTTTCACCACAGAGCCACGATTAGGGCATGGATTTATTACTTAGACCAGTTTAATGGGCATGCAAAGCTGAGGATACAAAGT